GGTCTTGCGTGAAATACCATTCTGTGAGCTGGCAGCTGTTTGTTAGTGTGGAAGCTTTAGTAGGAAGAGTGGACCTCTTGGATATTTTACAACAAGCTTTTTTCTCCAAAATGTCCGTTGATGACCGAACTCCAGTAAACGTCAACCAGGAAGAAGGAATGCTAAGCAGTCAGATTAAAAACAAAAAATAAATCCAAAAATGTGTTTCCCCTCCAGACTTTGACTCCCCTGTCTCAGACAATATTATTGTTTCATTAGCTGTCCAGTTAGCCAGAAACCCTTCTGGGAGAGACAGGACCTACATTTCAAAAGGAAAACAAACAAATAAACAAACCATCCTGTAAAACCTCTCATCTGTCCCTGCTAATTTTCAAAGAAAAAAACAATTTAAGATTCCTTTAAAATATGATACAAGGGCGGAGGGGGTCAGAGGCTCTAAGGGTACCTTTGGAGGTCACCTCGGAGATGAGGGCTGCTGTGCTGCAGCTGATGGCTGCAATGTTTTTATTCCCCATCCTCTCTTAAGATCGTCACTTTGGAAACACACCTGACTCGCTGGACTGAAAAGGGGATTTTGAGGTTGCAAGGAAGAAGAAAACCCCCGCCTATTCAGTAACAATTACAGAAATGGTGTGAGGCCTATTGCTGGGAGTACTGGTGTGAAGTGTGACCATCTTTCCAGTTTTGGCAAATCCTGACCTGCAATGGGAAATTCCCTGTTGTGGCCGATTTACAGCCTACACCAGACCAGCTGCCTGGCACACTTGTTGGTATGCCAGCAATCACATTATTGCTTTTCCAACCATTTCACAGGCCTAAGGTTAGATGAAAAGACTCCTTTTCTGGGTGTGTTCCCAAGTTTTTGTGTGTGCTTAGCAATGCAAACTCAAGTAACAGCAGCGACAAAGCTCAGCACATCCCCAGCTGTCTGTTGCACTCAAGCAGTTGCATCCCAATACGCCCTGGTGATGAGGGAGTTCACGTGCAATGTGCAGCCAGGTGAGACCTGTTCTGTTTTACTAATTATTATAAATAATTATTATAAATTTTTATTTACTAATTATTTTTTAAACATATTTGGACATATTTTCTTCCTTTTACCTTTGTAGCAATGGTCATTAGTATTTCTTCTTTAAAAAGAGCATGTTCCCATTTCAATTATGGTACAATTTTTTTTTAGTCTTAGAGTTGAGAGGTATTTCTGTATTTTAGATATATAATGTATATACATACATGAATACACTCTGTGGATATATATACACTACTGCAAATGAGAGTTGCTACTTTCCTCACATACTTAGCTGGTCAGTAGTGAAGAACCACATGACAGTTTTGTATCATGAAATTAAAAGCACACAAAAATTTACGGGCTCCATGTATTTCAGAACTGTGTAATGTCATTATATGTACCTCCAAGTACTCTGTGAAATATCCTGTGTGAGGGCACTAACCTAGATAGTTTATGTAAGACCGTGGAAATTCAATTCCAGAAATGAACCTTTGCATCTCTTGGAACAGCTGGAGAGGCTCAGGTCTACTCATCCTGCTCAGAATGGACACGAGGAATTTAGATTAGATGCAGATGGAGTGGGGATTTTGTTAATGACAAAAAGGGAGGCAAACATGTTGAGGCATAACTGCCTGAATACAAATGCATAATATATGTGTACATATTTCTGACTTTAAACTATGAACACCATAAATATGCTATCATGCAAGAGGCGAACATATGTAAACTTAACAATATCCCATTACCTCTCTAGCAAAGAATTTTCATAACTCATTCATATCCCATTGAATAAGCACAAAGATTCACTGCTGGCTGTTAATTATCCTCTACAAAGACCTGGTTATTGTGTTCAATTTTAGTAAAGGCGCAGTTGTTATTGCAGTGTACATAGGGAGAATGGTACCTGAGGGAGCAAGGAGGAAATATGCTTGTGTAGAATTTTAACAAGGAAAGCTTGGTTGCACAGAAGGGATTCATTGGGTGGGATTTTGATATGTGCTTCAGGAAATTAACCTTTCTCAAGACAAAAACCTTGCTGTGACTCTCTGAATACATGATATTACTCAGTATTTCAAAGACATCAGCCACGTAAAAATTACTTGCTGTTACTATAAAGAATTTTTAAGACTACTTTTATTGAAGGGTAGACTGTTTTTCTCTGAAGTTTATAACCCTCCAATCACATCAAGGAATGTGTATGCAAGAGCTCACAAGGCCCATACATCCCTCTGAGGTTTTTGAGGGGCACATGGAGGTCACCAGCCAAAGGCAGCAATCCGTTTCCTCCACACCAGCATGGTGGAGGAACTGGGACAGGAGGTGTAAGGTCCTGGCAGGTCCCAGTGCAATGTCACAGTAGGAGAGTGCCAGCTGGAACCCCACTTTGTGCTGTGTGTGATGCGGGGGTTACCAGGATTCAAAAGAATTCAGGAAAAGAAGAGCTGGGAACAATGGTAGGTTATCCAGGGAGCTGTGTATCTTCTGCACTGACCTGTTGGAAACACTGCAGCTGCTTGGCATTTTAGAAGGTTCAGAAAAGATCCACTGAAGATGTTATTTTAATGGGTGAGTTCTTTCCCACATGCCCTGCAATGAACGTCAGGCAGAAGGAGGCAAAGCCTTGTGACATTTAGGTTGCTAAAGTCATTGCTGTTGGTATGAAGCAGGTAGGAGGCTCTGGGCTCATGTAGGAGAACTAGCCTTGCTCAGAGGCACCACAGCAGCTGCAATGAACTCAGCCTCATTCCCTATTTCTTTTTCTCATTTCTACTCAATGCCTCTCTTCTCCTTGGTTGTGCAGGGACAAATGCAGAGTTCACACAGTGGCTGTTTGTTCCAAATGTGCATGTTGAAAGGAGAGGAGAAAGCATGTATCTTTGGGTGGAAATACTGAGAACAACAAGAAAACAAATAAAGCTGAACAAAAGAGAATTAAAACTTCTAGAAATACCAAGGACAGCTAGGGATGAAGGGAACGGAAAGAAGATATCATAGGTCAAGAAAGGGAAGCAAGAACTTTGTGGTGGGATATAAGAAACCACAAGACATGACAGGATGATCCACTGTTGGTCTGGCTTACCGAGGCTGTGGCACAGCCCCACTGAGGTGCCCATCCCTGCCAGGCCAATTGGATATGACTCTGGTAGTCCTGTCACTGCCTGCTTGACTGGACTTCAACAGAATGGGACAATTTCTTTTGTAGTCCCTAGTGGCTAATCCAGTATAGCAGCTAAGAAAGCAGCACCAGAAGGCATAGTTACTTAGGAGATACTTGGATCCTTGCATTGAATTTCAAAGGAAATATCTCTGTAGGCTCCTCCCAGAATTCCAAACAGTCTAACAGTGAAATAGATTGATTAAACCTTCTGCTCATCTGTTAGCACTGTGTTCAGCATTAAATCCTGTCCAACTGGCTTTCTTTGCACCACTGTAATGAGAAGACTAGTACTGGCTGATGCTCAGAAACTTCCAACTCAGAGCAGCTAGAAACAGTTCATTAGTAAGAGTATAGGGAGTGTGGTACGCTGTTTCATTCACTTCTTTTCACTTAATGAGACCAAGACCAGTGTGGAAGATACCCACTGCCAGATGTCCAGCAGAAGCTGTAGAGTGTCTCTCCTATGATGAGACCTGATATTTAAACGCGATGTTTGCTGCTTAAATCGTGTCTGTGAACAAGCAGGATCCCAATGCATTTCCACTATTTGCAGCTTGGGAAATGTTGCAAGACAATTTTGTCTGTAAGTCTTCTTGTTACCAGAATTATTTTTTGCATTTTGGCACATCCCTGGGTTAGAAGGGAAGACTGTAAATATTGTTGTGTTTTAATAGTGTTACTACAAACTGTATAGTATTCTAATAGCTAATTGTAAAGTTCTTGTTTATTTGGGAGCAGCTTGTATCACATCTGTATAATTTTTAATGTTTAATATTAAAAACATCTTGAGAGGATTTTAAAGACTTTTTTTCCTCTATTGCTTTTTTGTGATGAGTCAGAAAATAGTTTTAATGCCCCTTCTGCCTCTGATTTTCTTGACCCCCAGCTGTTGTCCTGCAGCTGGAACAGACGCACACTGCACCTCCTGGAGTCTCACTGGCAGTACGAGGGAAAAATAGGCCTCAGCAAAATTCCGTGGGAGGCATGCTGTGCTCCATGTGTAAAGCTGGTGGATCAAAGATCTAAACTAGGAGTATGTGGCATTTTCTTTGAGTTCTTGCAGAGGGGTAAGATTTGCCTTAACTAGATTTACCTTCTAGGAATGCAATGTCAGTGTGGAAGTACACTGGATCTTCCAGTTTCCTCAAAGTTCAGATTGTATTTATCAGCCTTATAAGAAAAGGATACCAAAATCAATATCAAAATGTTGCAAGACAGAAGCAATCAGCTGACCAGCACTTAAAGGATATATTTGTATTCATGTCTCACAAGCGCAAGTGTGATCACGTTCAGGTGCTCAGGCAGAGCAAGAGCGGGCAGACTGTCAGTGCTCTGACCCAAGGGGCAGGGATAGTTTGCTTTCTCCCCTCATGTCTGTTTTTTTCCCTTCATTCAACCAAGCAGCATGACCACCCAGTGCTGCAGCATAAGTGCTATTTTGCAATAGATGCACACAACCCAAAGCACAGGCTTTTCTGGTATATAAGTTGCATCTTCTTATTATGACTATCCCAGTCTATTTCTAAGTGTGCTAATTCCAGTAAATGGCTGCCATTTTCTTATGGCTCGTTTCATACCATGGTTAAACACTACACAACAAATGAAAGGTCCATTTGCCTGTGTAGCCTTTAGTTTTGGCCTGAATAGTGGCTTATATATGGTTAGTCTTTATGTATGAGGTAAAGAAACACCAAAGCAAATGTTGACAAAGTCTAAAAGCTGTTGAGATGAGCTGAGATCTCTGAATGTTCAAGCAGATGTGCATCAAAACCTAGAATACCTTGTTGCAGCAGTATTTGTGATCTTGCTTTTCACACTTTGTGTTGCAGCAGCAGAGGGAATTTGCTCAAGGTCATTGTTTCCTGGCGAATGTTGTGCCTTAATGGCATTCAGGGCAGCACTGGTGGGAAGGAGCAAATGAGCCCAGCTGGGACCACCAGCTCTGAGGGTTTTGAGCCTCCACAGTGAAGCCTGGATCAGCTCAAAACACCTGTCAAGGACATACCTGAAGAGAGAGAAGTTTAAGCAGTGCTGGCAGACAAGGTAGGTGGCTGCAACTTCGAGCTGGTTTGGACTACATAACAGAGCTCACTTGGGACTTTGGCAGGGAAGCAAATGCATGTCAAATGCACAGGTGATGCATGGAGTGAGCAATCTCACAAGATATGTGAAAAAAACACAGAGATGAGATCAGCCACAGAGGAAGCAGACCAGGGACTGGGCAAAAGTGGAAAAGAAACAAAGGGAGGGAGAGTTATTCCTCCTTTTTTAGAATCATTGAATTATTTAGATTGGAAAAGTTCTTTAAGATCAAGTCCAGCGTTAAACCCAGCACTGCCAAGTACACCACTAAACCATGTCCCTAATGGTCACATCTACACGGCTTTTAAATCCCTCCAGGGATGGTGTCTCCACCACTTCCCTGGGCAGCCTGTTTCAATGCTTGATAACCATTTCAGTGAAGAGATTTTTCCTAATATCTAATCTAAACCTCCCCTGACACAACTTGAGGCTGTTTCCTATTGCTCTGTTGCTTGTTACTTAGGAGAAAAGACCAACCCCCACCTTACTACAACCTCCTTTCAGGTAGTTGTAGAGAGCGATGAGGTCCCCTCTGTGTCTCCTTTTCTCTAGACTAAATAGCCCCAGCTCCCTCAGCTGCTCTTCACATGACTTTCTGTCTTGACCCTTCAGCATCTTCCTTGCCTTTCTCTGAACATGCTTCAGCACCTCAATGTCTTTCTTGTAGTGAGGGGCCCAAGACTGAACACGGAATTGGAGGTGTGGCCTCACCAGTTCTGAGTACAGGGGTATGATCACTGCCCTAGTCTTGCTGGCCACAGTTTTTGGGACTAAAACAACTACCCAGTGTAAGCACTGAATCAGAAATGGTTTTTTCTTCTTTGTGTGAAAGAATCTAGAATGTTTTTTAGATCAAGAATTGCCCCTAAAATGCAACACTGCTTCCTGGGAGGGAAAAAGGAAGCATATACAGCAAGAAAGGGATTAAAAAGTAGCAGGAAGGACTTTATCCTTCTCCTACTCATGCTTTACTTTTTCCTAGGAACTACCTTTCCTGATTATAGGGTATGTTACGTAAGCCATGTAAATTAGGTGGTTTTTTATATCATTGTTTCACTTCAAACGTAAAAATACATGTACTGCACTGCATTTTTTCTGGACTTCTCAGGTGAGTGTGTGTGCCTAAGGCATGCACTGTTGCCTTACCCATCCCTCTGCAGTGCTGGCATTGCAGGAGCAGCCAGAGGGCAACAGGGCAGAAAGGCCAGGGGCCAAGGGAGCAGTGGGTGCCTGGGTCTGGAGCCCTGGTGGGAAAGGACCTGATAATGCTGTTTTCTATCTGACCGAGACAAAAAGTTGAGAGGGACCGTTTCTGTGATGGCCAGATATGATGACAGTGGGAGCAGCAGCTGTGAACTGCCAGTGCCTCTTTGCTTTGGTTACTTTTAATATCTTCCTGTTATTAACAGTGGTCCTGCTGAATATCTCTTCCTATATGCAGACAGGCTGCTTGAACGCCGGCATGCCCGCGTGGTCTATCCCATAGCTGGCAGTGTGTGTGTGTGGATACCTCTACTCCCCTGGGCAGTCTGGTTCTATCTCATACGCCTACCTGTGCGAGTAAAGTGAAGGCTTGTATGGCCATCAGGTCAGGCTGTGGGGGCATTTTGATTTAATCACGTCTCATATGGTATCATTGTATTTTTCAGCTTTGCTTTTTCCATCAGTTTTATATACCTCATGTGGGGAAAGTAGTATCCTTTAAAGAATACATTCTATATTTGGTTGTGAGTGATTTGAGGCACGAATGTGTCTGAAGGAGAAAGGCTTTTCAAGCAGCATGCTGCTGGCTCAAAGGTTCCTCCACAAATTCGGCTGGGCTCTGCCTCTGAGTTGTGCTGCCCTCTCACCAGCCTGAGCCTTGAGGAATTAATTCGGGAACTGCTTGAGACTCTGCATGATATTCTTCAACGGTCCCTTTTTTCTCTGAAAGAAAAATACAGGGAAATGTCACAGAGAATTAACAACTTAGATGGGCGGATGGCAAGCCTTGAAAACCGTACAGAGATGATCGAGAGAAGTGTACTGTCCCACAAGGAAACAGCTACTAATACTGCACAGGTGGTGGGCTTGGAAAGATTAGTTTGGGGGTTTTATTAAGTGCAGCACAACCTTACAAAAAAAAAAAAAAGGTGGAAAACCAGATCTAAGTTGTCTCCATCCAGTATCTTGGTAGTAGAACTAATTGACAAAATGTTGGGAATGGCTTCTATTAACATCCAGGCTGAAAAGCTCAAGTTAGCTTTAACACCATAGGGCTGTAAAGAGACACTTCCTACACATCAGCATGTGCAAAATGGTCCAAAGCAGAGAGCATGGGGCAGGCAGCAGCAGGATCTCTATGGGCTTTGCAGGATTCCCTGCTCAGGCATTGGGGCACCCAAGAGGACAGTGAGATACTGCTGAATTCAGAGCATCTCTCACCATTAATGCCTTGAGTTTTTCTCATTCCGCATCATTACAGATGCACAGTACAGACAGAACCTGGGCTGGTACTGCTTCGGAGCTGTGTCCACAACTGGCCTGCTGTTTCCAGGGACACTAACTGATGCTGTGTGGCAGCAATTTGTAAATTGTGAAGGTATGGGGAAAATCTACAAAACTAAGGAAAATGTTTTCTGAAGAATGGAATAGAGCAGTAGTCAAATAATTAGGCTCTTATTCAAAAGAGAGGACAAGGAATAATGTTGATCCATTTTTCTTCTTTGAGGTAAAAAGATGGTGAAATAGAGGATGGATTGGGATTAAAAAAATGGGACTTAATTACTTGGTCCTGCCATGAGACTTCATGTGTAACCTCTGGCAAGGCTGTTGACGCTCTTGCACATCTCACTCGTGTCTGTGAAATGGGGATAATCTCTTCCATGACCAAAAGAGATTTCATGAGGAGAACATCCTCAACAGATTGAGTCCTCAAGCAGGGAGGTAGAGCAGTATCAGAGGGAGTTCTCTGATTTCCTTCTAGTACAGGCACCACTGAGTTAGATAAGCAACAAGCCAGGATTTCAAACAGTTTTGGAGTTGAACAGTGTTGGTATCCAACAAAGAGCAAATGTTTTTTATTGGAGATAAGGATATTTTGTTTCTCACAGTGTAAACACAATAATATTTGTCTTCGTAGATTAGCTGCAGCAATGAAAATACTTTGCATAGTCTCTAGTTGGGGGTTCTCAGACTTGGTTATTACATTCTAAATAGTCTGGTACAGGCTGAAATGGGGAATTGAATTAACCACGAAATACTGGGCAGGTTGAGGCTTTTTCACTTAGGACACCGTAAGTTATGTTCCCTGTGAAGTCTCTGCTTGTAATCCTCATACTGATGACCTGCACAGCAAATGTGGACAAACAGTAGACAAACCAATGAGGAAATGGGAGGAAGGATCATGAGCTCACTGTCATGTTGGTTGCTGCTCATTTTTGATGAGCAAGTGGCTGCCTCTTTGCCCCTGTGGGAAATCATTAACATACAATAATTCTTATAGATTTCTATTTGACAAAAGTGGTTTTTAACTCACACTTTACAGAAGCCAAAAATCGGAGTCCTTTATGCTGACTTTTACCAGTAAGTTTCTTTTCCTCATGGAAAGCCCCAGGGTAGATTGCTAAATTTCACAAGTAATTTGTAAACCCCTGAAATTGTTCTCTGCTGGTTTTTTTTTCTGTGACCTTTAGAAACCTGCTTCCCAGCCTGTATCCTCCGTTGCCTGAATATCATGGGTATAAGGAAATGTTTGCCGACTACAGCATGTCCAAATGTGAATTACGACAGAACTGTAAGGGTCTGGGTCCCAGGAACTCAGAAATCAAATGTGAGTTTAACTTTTAGTCCGTACAGAGTCCTACTGCTCTGGCGCCTTGACTCCTTAGGGAACAGTAAATAAGAAGGAGGCAGCTTTCTCCCTCTGGCCTAGAATTAACTTGCAGATTTAACTGACTTGTTTTATTATATGTGTTTATGTTAAACTGTCCTACTACAGGAATTACATAATTCATCCAGGAAATGAAATGGCTCCAATGACTAACTTGAGAGTCACATAAAAAACCTCAGAAGAATACTGCCAAATTTCGAAGGTTTTATGATACTGTTCCCTTAAATTGTTAAAATCAGAGTCAATTTGTTAAATATTTACTTAGTTAACCAACATGCTGTTCTAACTTCCTCTCTATATCCTTAAGTAATGAATGACAAAGCACAAAAAGTAGGCTAATCATCTAACTTATTTTACACTAGGAAAAACAGGGACTGATAGATATAACATACTGAATTGAATGAGTATTTATTTTCCCATAAAATTGCAAAATGTAGCTAGTTTAGAAGACTGTTAGAGTTTAGAAGTTAAGGGTTCAGAAGACTTTATTGCTCCAAGATTTGGAGATTCTTATTACCATTTAGGTCATTATTATACTCTTTGCAACAAAAGACCCCCAAAAAAATTTCATAGAAAATATTTCAAGATAATCTCACAAACACGTAGCAGCAAGAATAATAACAATACCACACACATCCCTTTGTCACCCTGTGATAAGAATGGGCACTTCTCTTTTTCTGGAGTTAATCTCTTTGGGAAGAAGAGGGGAATAGCAGGATTTGGCTGCTGAATTCTTTCATTATCTCTCTTTCCTTTGTGTGGGGTACGAAGGACAGTGTATCCAAGCACTGCAAGATATGGCTACAGGCATCCAAGGCAGCCTAAGTGCATTGATTGCCTCAGCACCCAAAAGCAAGATTGCCGAGCTTAAGAGACAAGTTTCCTTGCTACACAACAAGAATAAAAAGTTCCTGGATTGTATTTTTAGAGATGTGAACATGTCTAGCAAAGAAAGGTCTGAGGGTATACAGTGCAGAAGAGAGGTATAGATGAAAGGTGACTTACTGTGATTAGAACATAAAAAGTCAGGAGTCATCCAGAAGGGATTGTGAATGTTGGAGTGCCAGAGTTTGTCCCTGAATGTGTGACTGATAGGTGATGAACACACAACTAGGGGGTGAAGCAAACAAACTTTGTCAAACCGCTCCCAAGCTACGAACAGGGAGGAAATGTGACTGAGACAAACACTATACTGGGCGTCTTCTTGAAGATAGTCTGCTTACTGATCCATGGTGCATGACTGGGTTTGGGCCCTCTCTCGCTTTCAGCTTTCCTTTACCATCCAAGTGATGTGCCAAAGAGATGTGACACTGGCAGGAGTGTGTCTGGCAGACCAGCAGAGCCAGGGACTCTGCATTGCACTGGCAAGGTCAACATTGCCAAGAACCCTGACTTAACTCCTTCCTCCAGCTGTGTCCTCTGCATGAATACCACACCTGTATTACAGAAAAAAAAGGAAAATCTAAAGACCCAAGATGCGTGTCCCTCACCAGACTTTTGAGAATGGACATAAGTGATGTGACAGTTCAGAAAGTGGGATGAAAGGCTTTTTAATAGTACTGACTCTTGCTAACTTAAGACCAAAGTCCAGGTTGACAGAGTATGAAGTTTTTCTCCAGTCTCCAGTGCACCAGAAACTGAAGATGCTGTTTTCTCTTTGTCTAGTGTGCTGTATGTGTGGATTCTGGTGAGAGTATTGCATGGGGTTTTTAAGAACCAGTTCTGGTCCTTCCTTTCATCTTAGGTTTCAGCTCATCAGGTTTGAGAAATCTGTATTAAAAAAAAAAAAAATTTCTTTTTCCCCTGAAGTCAAGGGGCAAAACTGGAGTATGTTATCTTCAGAGCAGGACAGTGATGGATTAGAAATCCAGCACAAACCACTAGTCCTGTGAGCTGCAAATCTGATAGGGCTTTGTTTCCCTTGGGCAAATCTTTGGATTCTCCTAGGTCTACATAGCTGGAAGCTCTGACTGCAGCTTTTCCTGTGGGTGGGTATTCATAACATCTTTCATCACTGCAGCTTTTTTGGTGTTTAATAGGGGTTTAACTCAAGCTGCAGTGGGTCTCCTTTTACTTAGCAGCCTGTTCTTATGAAATGTATAGGAATGTAGCATTTTCAGCATTTTATTGCTCTGTCAGATGTGGTTAAAATTGGCTACTGTTTGTTCTTGTTCCCTTTCTCTTGCACAACACACAAGTATGTACAAGCACGTATGTGTGCACACATGCGGACACACACAGAGATTTATTATACATACGAAGAGATAATGATCTCAAACCCCTTTTAATTTCTATAGGAATCCGGGCTAGGTAAAAAAGCATTGGAATGTTATTTCTTTGGAAGAGGAAAAGGAGGATGAACTAATTTTTTTCTATGCAGCAGACAGAATATTCAATTACTGCTTTGTTTAAACATAACATGTGTTGCTGAAAATCTGGCACCACTATTATAAAGTAAAAGATGTAGTGGGCTCTGTGTCCTGGAACTGTATACTTGTGCTTGTGCACGGCACGCACGCTTCGCCTCCAGTGCCTGAGTGGTCCTGCTGAGACTGGAGGAATGTGTAGGGAATGTAGGTTTGCCGCGACATCCTGTCTCCATTACATCTTTTGGAGCTTTGCCACAGAAAAGAAGGCATTTTACCCTTCATTTGTAAGTAATTAAGATGATAGTGGAGTTAGAGTTTTCCAACTTTGTGAAAACAAACTAATAGAAATGATCCACTTCAATAACTCAGATATTAATTGAAACAAGAGAGAGAAACAATACATTAAAAAATAATTAACTTTCGTTAATTAATTTTTAGAAATAGGAAGGACACCTGCAGCAAGTGCAGATGTTTGCAAGTGTCATTAGATTGGGAAGGTTGTGCAGTAATTTGGAAATGGAAACAGGTCAAAAGGACCAGGAGCGATCTGCAGCAGGGTCTGACTAGTAGCATAAACTATGTGATTGCTAGTGAGCAGCAAAAAAGGTGATGAAGATGTGCATTTTTTAAAGAGTATTTATAGAAGCCAGAGGTTAATTAGCAGTTAAAAAGCATCTATTGGTGTTTTATGTCAGTACCATCGGTGTGTTAATTATTGTAATTTTCAGCCTCAAATGCGCCTCTTTCAGACTTCAGCTGAAATAGATTGATGATTCTTTTACTGAGGCATTTCTTAGATAAATTTGAATTAGTAACTTCCCCCCTTCCCCTTGCCAAATCAGTTTTCTTCTATGACCAGAACTGGAATTTCATCTCTCACTCAGCCTTCTCTTCTTTGGTATGTGTGATGCAGTTCTGGTTGTCTGTGGTATTGCAGGAAGGTAAGGGGAATGCATCTGTTACCATAGTTTTGTCCCAAGTTTAAATTTTGACTTCTCTGCAATGTAGACACAGACAAATGTGAAATGATCCCTAGAACTATCCACCTTCTTTTTCAAAGTTAGTAAGTAGAAAGGCACAAATCTAATTTGTTCTGCTCCTCTTAGTGCTTTTGTCTACTTTAATGAAATTATGCTGGTGGGAAAAACAACAAAGGTTTTATATGCCACTGTGAACATGCCAGAACTCTGTTCAACAACTGGGAATCCTCATAGGGTGAGCAGACCAGGCACCTTGGGGGCATCCAAGCCAGCCAGCTGAGATGACATGGGCTGAGTGCAGTCTCCTAGCACCGATTAAAACAAAATGCTGAGAACCACTATGAGGTCAGGTTGTTCCCTGCACCAGACACCTCTCAGGGAAGGTTCTCCTGTCACACTGTCTCCTGTCCAGCCCTCTTTTGCAAGTCACTACCCACAACTCCTCTTTCAAAGATCCAGTCAGGGATTTTTGTCTCCTAAGCAACAAAAAACACCACTCACCTAAAGATACGTAAGAATTTAGAACTGCCATCCAGGTTTGGAATGTCCTTAAATGGACACTCACTTGACCCCTCACTGTCTGTTCAGGCCTTTAGGCTGCTGGAACTGAGAAATGCCAGAGAGACCACAGGATGTGGTTTGGACTACAGTCCCCCACTTCCTTCTTCTAGAGGGAGCCAGAGAGTCCTACTTGCTTTTGTTTTGGGAAGGGAAATTCAGACTGAGATTCATAAAAATAAATAATTTCATCCCTCCAGAAGTATTTCCTTTCAGAATTCGTAACTCCTATTAAGTTTTCAATTTTTCAGCAAACATATGTGCAAGTATATAATTTGCCAGTCTCTTTCATTTCAATGGCCTACTTTTCTATCGGTACTATTAAAAATAAAATGCTGAAGTGTGAGAAAGACAGAATTACATTAGACAAGAAGTATACAAGACGTTTTCCTTTCAGGTGACTTTATCTATGTATCTATTTATTTACTTCTATTCCAATTTTGTGATGGGCTCTGGAGAAAGATCCTTAGATGCTCTATTACTGATTCTGCAAGTCATGGTTATGTGGCCTCTTCATCTGAACAATTTTTCTAACCTTACCTAAAGGATCTATGATTTTTTTTCCCCCAATTATTTCTATAATTAAATTTTATCTGTTCTGATGACCTTGAAGGGTAGGAATTAAGCATAAACAAACAGGATAATGATGGGGCCCAAAGGCAGTAACTTTCAGGAAGCTTGAAAAAAGAGATATGTATTTCTAATTTAAGGGAGGTAAAATGAAAGAAGTGTCTACAGTGATTAACCCACTAAATGGCAAGTTTTCAGATATATACCCATCTGCTTTTTCCTGCCGCCTCTCTCCAAATGGGAGGGAGCTTAGATGAATTCATTTTATCTTCATAAGAAACAAATATTGTGAATGAAATAAATTTTTACTTAGATGGACTATGTTGCCAGTGGAATAAAACCCACACATATTACAGGGAAGATTTAATTAATATTCTCTTTATTTATTTTGTTACACAATTAAAAGCAAAAAAAATTAATAGGTGAAACCCCCCCCAACTTATGTAAATACACTGAAATTTATCCCCTATCATAGTCACATAGTTAAACACAAGAAAGAAAGAAAAAACAGCAGAAACAGTTTTCTCTAACATGTTATTAAGGACAAGAACCTGTTTGCGAGTCAAATATTAGATGTCCCCAGGGAATTTGACAATTTGCAAAATATACAAGAACATATCACCCGGGGAGAGTTACAACTGTAACAAACGAGGAAGAATTTCTGACTAAAAAGGAACATGACTTACTTTGTCTCAATTGCTCAAAAAAATTCATAAATACAATGACTAGGCTAGAAACAATGTTGCAGAGGATTGTGCTCACACACTGGTGGATGTAGAGCTTGGACAGACTTTCTGTTGGCCTCATTCCTCGAAGATCTGTCATCTGTGTCGGTGAACAGTCACAGCCTTTAGGTTTGTGCACAGACTAGGTTGTTAGGCTACGGCTACTTATTCGCAGGTTCTTCCTCTTACTGTGGCTAGGCTGTGTGTCTCAGACCTCCAGCCAAGTGCAGGAAGTGTCTGGAGCTGGCATGTCCCTGCTGTGGCTGCTACACTGTCCATTAGTTTGCTAGGCCTGCCTTTATCCCATCAACAGTTTCCACTGGATGTGAGCCAACCAGTGGAATCGAACGTCCGCCCTGCTAACAGCTGGATCCAGATACCAGATTTCAATCTGACCTCTCTTTAACGGAGTTGTTTCAAGCAGATACTAGTATTTTTAGAATTGCTTCCCCATTTAAAACAGAAAAATTGCTCTTCTAAAATCCAATTTCACTATTAATAAATATTATTTGTCTTTTAGATGGTTACACTTGGATACCCTCATACTTGTCCACCAGACTATACAAATATCTTGGTATTTTCACATGCTCCCAGGTACCATTTGTGCTCCTTTAAGGCTTGAAATCCTGGGCTACTGACAGGCACTTTACAAAAACATAGCCAAAAGCAAATTCCTGTGTTGTCTAGCAAGCTTGATACACTGAATTAATCTACTTGCTGCTGTTGAAAGGAGTCTTAACTCTTCTCATCTGCTCCCACCCATGGACTACTGTTCCCCACTGTGTCTAGTTTGACTCAATTGAGCTCACAATAAGGTGAGCAATATTTTTGCAGGGTTTATTTTCTTATGGCAATGTCCGTGAGCTATTAGGTTGGCTCAGCTTCTGGGCAAACCACACCTACTGCTCAAGCCTGCTCCCGCCTTGCAAAATTTGTGGTCTTGTAGCCACTCATGTCAGAACAGGGAGGTGCTTTCTGGGGGATGATGACACAATGCCAGTCAACACCTTTCTCTGACCACTGCTGATTTTATACCGGGCAAGAGCTAATTTCTCTCTTTATTTCTACAGGGATGAAGTCAAGTCATGCAACTATCTCCAACTACTGTGTGCTGACTCACGAAAGCTCACAACATCCTGTCAGTTCTGCCTGTGGCCCTCTGTAAAGATGTCCCCATATTTTTAAGCAAATGGACCCATACAGGATGCAGAAATTAAGAGTGCAGTATCCAGGACTGGTAGCTACATTCCTTTTCCTGTCTGCTGAAAGACTCAAACAAATTGCAAAGGAAAGCTAAAATCCAGAATGAAGATGAATTCTAGTAAGTTTAATAGGTCTGATTCAGAACCTTATAATTATCTTGGGTTTTGTAGCACCATGTAAATATTTGACA